CAAATAAATAAATTTTCATAAAGTACGGAGGCATGTGAAACATAAAACTTTGTTTTGGCTTTTGTCCAATTACGAGCACTCCCCAACCCGACATCTGCGTAAAGTTATAAGACACGCGTAATTCTTTAACTGGCCTCGTTAAATACAATTGGTGTAAACTTCTTTCCGTATAAACTTTAGAAAATTAAATGGCCAGCAGGGGTTCTCAACCAACAACTAGCTAACCGCTTGTTTAGGGACATATTCTGTATCCTTCGGGCAAGTCCTGGGTCCAGCTCCCCCAGGGGTATATATATATAGGCCTGCAGACAGCCCTCCTCCGATCGAAGTGGCAAGTGCACTCTGTTTACCCCGCCAGCTACGCTTCGCCCCGCCTCCGCCTCGCCGCTCCCCGCCACACCCCGCCACACCCCGCCACACCCCGCCACGCCCCGACTTGGCTAAGGGAATGCCTGGTGGTGAGGGCACGGTGCCTATAGGCAGGCTGGCGTCTAGGCGCCACCAACAACCCGGACGGTCCTCCTCTACCGCCGCCACTACCACCACCACCACCCGCCACGCTTCGGCCCAGAGCGGGCGTCTCTCTCTCTCTCTCTCTCTCTCTCTCTCTCACACACACACACACCGGCGATGCGGCAGAGGGGTGGGTCGAGAAAGGCGGCAGGGAAGTATGGTGCGGCTCCGGGGAGATTAAGAAGAAAGAGGGAACTTTATCGTGTTCCTTTCCTCGAGTCGAGGATTTATCAGAGGGAGGGAGGAGGAAGTCTGACCCTCCCGCTCTCCCCTCTCCTCCCCTCTCCTCCCCTCCCCGGGGGAAATCACCCCCGCGCACACCGCCGCAAACCCTTAGAGGACGCGGCATACCCGTGCAAAGCCAAGTACTTTATTAACAGACAAACAATCTTATAGGTCTACTTCGTAGGGAGGAAACTGTGTGTAAGTTTCTGTTAGACATGGCCAGTAGTAACACAGTACTTGCTGTGGAAAGAAATACACACCCTACCACCATACGAATGTTTTGGGCAGATTTGTTTCCTAATGCACTCTTAGTTCCTTACAAACAGCGGTGTTCGTATTACAAAGAATTTGTTTGTAACTTACAAAGGATCTAAAGCAGCCATATTACGAACGATTTTCCTTCATATTACGAACACCCACCATTCGTAATATGAAAAGCGTCGTTTGTAATACAAACCAGGCTCTTCGTAATACAAACAATTTGTTTGTAATACAAATGTTAGAAATCATTTGTACGTTACGAAGAACAGTTGTTCGTAAGGAACTTACAGTGATGGGTCGTTTTGAATTGGAAAAGTCATTCAAAACGACTCATTAGGAAACAAATCTGCCCAGATGTTGATTAAAGATTAAAGTTGTGATTCCTGACGGGAAAATCGCTGCACCTATTTCTTGGGGTCATAAAATATTTGTGTCTGTAGTGCGTCGGGCCTGCCGGGCCGGGCTGTGGCTGTCTGCACCCGTTTTACGCAGTGGCCCGCTGGGGGTCGTTCGCTGAGCCGCGTGTGCCGCGGCACTGCCCAGGGCCCTTGTGTCGAGGCCTAGAGGGCCTAGAGAGGGTCGGCCAGAGGACTTTGGGAGCACCCGAGGAGGTATGCGCTCATTAGCCGAGCGTAACAGAGACAATGCAAACATGCGAACTTTAAATATGTTTTTGTAATCTGTGGATCCCAACCTTCCTCTGTTTTCTTAATGAGTGTTTGTCGATCTTCTTCATCCTCTCTTTATCTTCTCATCCGACTCCTGGCTCGAATTTTTTTTTATTGTTATTATCATTACTTCCCTTCTGTCTCAGCTCGCGCGGGACGCGATTCGTGACTTTTTTTCTTCCTTTGGCCCACTGGAAGGTTTGGGCCGGAGCAATAATATTACACCATGGGATTTCACTCTTCTTCTCCGATAATTTGAAAGTAAAGTGGCGTCGATCGGAAAGGGAAGCTGCTTGTTGGACCTCGCGGCCTTCCCCTCGCTCCCGCTACCCTTCCCTCAAAATGTACCGGGTGATTCAGAGCACGCGCCGCCGTGTTGCGGGTTTGCCTATCCTCGACTCGGCGGGCGCACGGGTGAGAGGTGAGGAGGGGACCCCTCACCTCCTCACCTCTCACCTGTGCGCCCACCGAGTCGAGGATAGGCAAACCCGCAACACGGCGGCGTGTGCTCTGAATCACCCGGTATCTCTGCTCCCCTTATCTGCTATGATTTCCCGAAATTAAATCTGAACGAGTTGAATCAACTTGGATCGAGAATACACAACACTCAATCTCTGGACTTGCCGGAAGACGACGAGAAGATATTTTGCGAGTAGCTAAGTGCATCGCATCGCATTCTGATGCCCCTCTCCCCTTCTCACTTGTCTCTGTCCCTTCCGAGCGGCTGCCTGATTCTGAGTGCGTACTCCCCTCCATTGTCACCTCTCTACTCGCGCGTGATTATTCCTCACTTCTGTATTTTTTATTTTTTTTTCATTTTCCCCCCCTCGCTCTTTGATGCATAACTGCCCGTATGTCCCTCAGCTCTCTTTTCCTTTCTGCTCGTTTTCATGCGACTGCTTGAAAGGACACGGAAATCTGGATTCTATTATTGAGCCTCGCAATCACCGTAATACTCTCGCCCTCCCCCTCTCTCCGTCTGTCTCTACCCCCCCCCTCCCCCTCTCCCGAATGCACCGCCCTTGTGCACCCACGCCTGTGTCCCAACTAACGGGATTTTAAAGTCCGTGAATCACCGTTCAATTAAACGAAATGTCTGAAGCAGCCACGGGCGGGGGCCGTCCGCCTAGTCGGCCCCATCCCATACGCCCGGGGGGTGGGGGGGGGGAGGCTCCGGGCCCGGCACACGTCGCCTCCAAACATTTCAATTCACCTCCCTCCATCCCCTTCTTTAACTTGACGGGGCAGACCCGTCCTCCTCGCCCTCTCTAGGCCTGCCTCCGTTTGTCTCTCTCGCTCCCCCCGCCGCTGATGCTGCCCCCAAGGGCTGCACGCACGCCCTCGGAGCAATTTGCACACACACGTATGAGCACTTCCGTCGGGGGAGGCCGGGGAGGCCGTCACCGCGCGCCCCGCCTCCACCGTCACTCATGCGCCGCGGCCGTCACCGTGGTCCCTCAAGGCTTATGTGAACGACCCCTCGCCTCCCGCGCCCGCCTCCACCTGCCTGCCTTGCCCGTCCACCTTTCATGTGTTTTGAATAGGGCGCGGGGCGCGTCCCTCGGCCGGCGGCGCCCCTCGCGCAAACAGCGACATCAAGGGATCCTGGACCTCTCGCGTCCCACCGCGTCCCCGCGCGCCTCATTGTCTCTCCCGTGGCTCTCTCCGCGCCACCGCAGCGCCCCGTTTCTTGGTTTCTTGTATGGGCTCCCCCGAGCCAAGCAAAGAGGATTATTCACCCTGAATATCGCTTACTGCCTATTTCTGTCACACTCGTCTCTCACTTTACTATGTTCAGTTACTCAATGCATTTCTCGCCCTTATTCTCTCCCGCATCCGCACGGGCGACAAACACCCGCCTGTCTAGTAGATAGTCTTGGGGACTTGGGGATAGTCTGGTAGAGACAGTCTTCTCTACCCTCTAGTAGAGACTTTGGGGACTTACTCTGGTAGAGACAGTCTTGCGGACTGTACAAAATAATATATGGTGTTTTAATGGAGGGAGGAGGTTGGAGTAACCCAGAAGTGCCGTGTAGGATCGCGGCCTCCAGGCGTATGGCGGTCATGACCATGTCCAAGCCCCCGGCCGGCGGCACGGCGCGGCGTGCCAAAGAGCGCGCGGCGGGCGGGCGGCTCGGAGACGAGATCGATGCCGTCGCCATGGCGACGCTGTATCGGCTGGAGTGTATGTGCGGTCATGCTGGAGCCGGAGGCCTGCCGGGAGGCTGCGCGGGGCTCTGGACCACACGCCCAGTGAGAAATCAGTGGTCGAATCGACCTCGAATCGACGTCGACTGGGCAGGTCGAAAAATTGTCGATTCCAAATGTCGAATCGACGGGATTTTGTCCCGCAAATCGACGTTTTTTCGACATCGACTATTTCGATACTCTATCGAAAGGGGACTAAGGGGACGGATTTCAACAATTGAGCTAAGTCCAATAGCGACTGCTGGTGTCCGTAGACACCCGCGTCGCCATCAGCTTCAAAAATTACTGCAAGAGATGAAGTCCGTGAAGACACCTCCCGCGCGTGAACGAACACGTCTCCAGACTATACTTGTTTTGGCGTTGCGGGTCACCAGCGAGAGCTAACTGTACCGTCAGGGGAAGACCCTGTCTCGAATCGACGTCGAATCGACATCGATCTTGTGCAATACGAAATTTCCTGCAATTGAGTACCAGGAACCATTCTGTAACACTTTAAGACACATTGGCAGAGTTAAGCCGTGTCATAGGGCACTTCTCGAGTAACATCGAAATTTCGTCGACAACTTCGTTTCAGGACCAACGATAACTTCTCGAGCGGTCGACGTCGATTCGAGGTCGATTCGAACACTCATTTCTCACTGGGACGGGGCGCACCGCTTTGGAATTAGCTGTGCCGGGTGGTTCAGGGAAGACGCAGGTGCAGGCGGGTTTGCCTTGCCTACCCGCAGGTAGCCCCTTGGGTGGGGCTGACAAAGCTAGCTGTCACCTAGGTGACAGCCTCGGTGACAGCTATATAGCTAAACCGAGCTACACATTATTTTCAGGGGGGAGGGGACTAACTATTTAGCTATGTGGCTAAAAAATTAGCTATGTCGCAACAAACTTAGACCTACCTAAAAATTTGGGTGTGTAGCTAAAACGTTAGCTAGTTAAAGAGAGCTTAATTCTTAGCTACTGAGCTAGATAATTAGTTATCCCTCATGTAGGTACTGGTTTAGAAAATACACCTAATATTTGTTTCCGTGTGTGGTGGTGGGCAGGGCGCGCGGCCAACATATCCGCGCCGTGTGCTCGTCGAGTGTGTGTCCGCAGACTGTAACGCCCGTCCTCTCCTCTCTGTTCCAGATGTAAGCCCGCGCCCGTGCAGGCCTCGCGGCTCCATGTCTGACGGCGGCGGCGCCGGGGGCGGCGGGGGCAACCCCATGACCCCCGCGGGGGTGGCGGGCCCCAACCAGGCCGCCCCCGAGGAGGGCTACCTCCTCATCCAGGTGCACGTGCCCGAGCTCAACGTGCAGAAGTGCCTGCAGTTCCCGCGCGACCAGCTGGTCTGGGACGTGAAGCAGCAGTGCCTAGCCGCGCTGCCCAAGGTAAAATAAGGCGGCAGTTAGAAAGTAGCATTTTTGTTTTTTGTTTTTTTTTGTTGAAAACAATCGTCCTTTTGTCAGAAATGACGAAGGAAGTTTGTTTTTTGGAAATGAAGTTACCCAAGTGGGGAATGTTACGTACGCTTCCACCTTCCCGTAGAAATATTTGTTGATACGTGGGATGGTCCCAATGTGACACTTCTCTGTCTGCAATTATTGTGTGTATGTGTGTGTGTGTTTATGTTTGAACACGTGTGCGTGTGTGTTGTAAACGTGTGTAGCCCTTTTGCGTCTGTGCCTTATATTCATCCCACTCACTGTAACCGGACATATATGGTCCTCACGCCATGTTGGGGTTTACAGTGCACCAGAAGCTAATTGAATAATATTGTATTATCTAACAGCTATCGGACCATCGCTGTGCTTCACTACTCGGGCTTTCAGTCCCTCAATAATATGCTTATTCCAGGCGCTAAAGTACAAGCCTCAAAAGGGCCATGGCAGCGAATAACTGTAGATACTTCCAAGTTTGAGAGAAAACGACAATACATCCTCAATCTTATATTTTTATACCCCTAATTGAAAAGTGAAAAATACCAATAATACGAATCTTGAGATCTTTCCTCGAATGATTAACACTACTACGAAACGAAGTCCTCTATGAACATTTCTAGTTCATGTTTTCTATAGCTCTGCTACCAGATCCTTTTCTATCCAAGTCGTTGCGTTGCCATGCGCCCGCCCGCACCCTCACCCGGTTATTCACCTGCTTGTCTAGTTAGCTAATCCGTGACTAATCCTTTCTGTGTTCACCGCTGGCGCCTCTATTGGCGCCGCCTCGCGCCTTGACGCGCCGCACCTCAGGTCGCCACGTGGTTCAGGGTAGGTCCACCAAACACTCACCTCACGTCGCCTCGCCGCCTAGCCTCGCCTAGCCTCGCCTAGCCTCCACGCTGCTCTTACGTTTACTCTCGCACTCGCATCATGATCGAGGGAAATCCCAGCACTCTTGTCGTGTGTTATTTTTCGAAATCTTAAAGACCATTGATAATGCAGATTTATGCGGGAATGTTACCTGGTAAAAATTGATTCATGCTCATGAATTAATCTAATTTAGCCAGCGCGATACTTTTGACACCCGCACATCATAACGTGCTTGTAGACGTGCCACCATGCCAGCTAGTTGTTCTTTTGGCCCTCGATTCGAATGGTTCAAAAAAGCAGCGGCAGGAGGTACCTAAGCAAGTTAAAGGCGGTGAAGAAAAAGCACAAACATGTCCGCACCTACTTATTAGCACGCTCGCATTCTCCTTGCACGAGACACAATGCACTTTAAAATCTCATTATTGCCTCTTTTTTGTTGCCTTTTCTGCTTTACGGTTTGTATCTCGCGCTCCAGGGGCGTGTCTCGAAGCAGCGCACTTCGAGAGCTTCGAGAGCTTGTTCGAGCGCTCGCAGATGCGGATGAGAAACTTACCTGGCGGCAAAGCACTTGTTGTTTTGTTTATGTTTACGTTGACTTGTCTGCGCGTGGCTTCCTTTCCAGTCCAGACAAAGTGGAAGTCATAAATGAAAGTTTGATCGTTGTGCTTTGGAAAATTGAGTTCTTTACCACGTTGTTGGTGTCGAATTTTCGGTTGGCATGAAACGAGGAGCCTAGCATATTAAAGTTAGAATATTTCTGATCTTTGATTTGGTGAGCCGGTTGCACTCTGCCTTTATTGTGTCATGACACTGCTTTATTTGTGTGTTTCAGGAGTTAAAAGAAAGCTTTAACTACGGACTCTTCTCTCCCCCTGTCAATGGGAAAGCTGGAAAATTCCTTGATGAAGAACGGAGGCTTGGGGATTATCCTTTCAATGGGCCCATTGGTTATCTTGAGGTATGTTTCAGGAATGCGCTCTGTGCAGTCCACAACATGTTGAAGATTTTCCCTTCAAGTCATCTAATAACTTAACATATTTACTTCAGCTCAAATATAAGCGCCGTGTGTACAAGATGTTAAATTTGGATGAAAAGCAACTGAAGGCCCTTCATACACGATCAAACCTTCGACGTCTTCTAGATTATGTTACTCATGGTCAAGTGGAGAAAATAACTAAGATGTGCTCTAAAGGGCTGGATCCAAATTTCCACTGTCAAGAAACTGGAGGTAAAAATATTAAGAGAGTTATAAATTGTGTATAAAAATGTACTAGTGAGAAATGCTTCTGTCTGCTGTCATGCTGTTGAGTTTTCAGAACTATGTGCATCTCTTCATTTCAGAAACGCCCCTCACATTGGCAGTGGGTATCAAGAAACCTGGAAAAGTTTTGATGGCATTAGTAAATGGTGGTGCTATTCTTGATTATCGGACCCGAGATGGCTCTACAGCCATGCATCGCGCGGTGGAGAAGGGCAGTTTGGAGGCATTGACCACTCTGCTTGAGCTTGGGGCATCACCTAATTACAAGGATGGGAAAGGTTTGAGCCCACTGTATTTGACGGTGACACATCGTACAGACCCAATGCTCGCACAAACACTCCTCCATGATAGAGCTGTGATCGGTGCTCAGGACTTGCAAGGATGGCAGGAAGTGCATCAGGTATGTTCTCACTCTGCCTCTGGTTAATGTCAAATATTTGATATTCTAGTATTAAATTTAATTTATTTCAACTTCAGGCTTGCCGCAATGGACTTGTTGTCCATTTAGAACACCTCCTCTCATATGGAGCAGATATGAATTCCAAAAATGCCTCTGGGAACACACCTCTTCATGTGTGTGCTGTCAACAACCAGGATTCATCAGCAAGAATGCTGCTGTTTCGGGGTTGTCAGAGGGATGCCCTAAATTATGCCAATCAGACTCCTTATCAAGTTGCTGTGATTGCTGGCAATCTAGAACTTGCAGAGGTGATACAAAACTTCCGATCTGATCAAGTTGGTAAGTGTATTTTTAATTGGAAGTGTTCACAAGCACACTTTTTTTTTTTTCAAAATCCAATTTCAATTTTCTAGACTGAAAGGAATGTGTAGATTTATATTTACTACCTTTGTCTCATGTGTATTATTCATTTTTCTAAGAGGCCAATCTAGTCTTTTGCATGAGCTCTGCATGATTTATGCAATACTAGCTTCAAGCGCCTCATTTTTTTCATGTAGGGAAGTTATCCATTGCATTCTGCATAGGAGTTCTTATAGTTGTATAATTTGTATTCTGGTTGTAGATTTTGTTTTGTTGTTGAAGAAAACAGTGAAGCATATAATTTTTTTCAAATCTTGATTATTTTTTTTATCATAATTGTAATGAACTTACAACACAAATCTCATTTCAGTAATTGTAATTATTGCGTGTGCCAATTGAATGTAATGTGTGAAATAATGATCTCACACTACGGTAATATATGTATGGGTCCATGATGACGAAACAAATGCAAATGTGGTTGTGTGAGGCATCAAACTTCTGAAAGCTTCTAGCACTTGATCTTTGAATCCCTTTTCTTCTAGCTGAATCTCATTACTTTATCATTATCTCACCTTTGATTGTCTGCTAATTTTCAGTCCCTTACCGAGAGCCCCCCCAATTCAACCCACGCAGGAGAAGATACTCTGATATCTATGGCACCAGCTTGGTAACATCTCCATCTACAACTAGCAACTTGGATGCTGTTCTCCTACCCCCCTCCCCGTCCCTGTCAAACAGATCGGTACCCCCATATAGTTATGCTTCATCCTCGATGAGTGAAACTTCAAGTGGTTCCTCAACTCAACCAAGTGTTGGAGAAGACAGCGTCAGCATTATTACAGGTAAAATTAAACTGCTGTGGCCTTAATAAGACCAACATGGGAAATTCCTCACCTCAAAACAGAACACTTGGAAAAGTACTTCCGTATGACAAATAAGAACAGGTGAAATTTATTCTACTCTAGTTAAACAGTTTAATCTTTCATATAATTTGTGACAATGCTATGATGCATGGTTGCTTTAGATATCTAGGATTTTATTTTTCTTCCTAGCTCAAATTATTTCTGTAGTGCATACAACTTTTATGCAAAACATTATTGGCCAAATAGAAAACATGTTTTCTGAGTCAACATGCAAATTCTAATCTATGTTTATTTTCCTATATTTTCTTCAATCCTATACTTTGGAATAAATAAGTCTGAATTAGATTATGGTTCACTGTTACAAACATTCTTTACAAGTTACATATTTTATTTCAAAAATCATATGGTTGAAGGTCTTGAAGAAAACTTCTGTACATAGCAGTTTAGACAATTTTTCAAGGGTATGAAAGTACATAGAATGTAGCTTTTATGTATGCCCATGCTTAGCTAAGCCCATGGCTGCAATCTTGCTGTTCTCATTATTTCTGGAAATTTATTTTAGTGCTTTCTATGTTTCAAAATTTGGTTGTGCTTTACTGTACAATGTTAGCTTTCATTTAACCAAGGTTCTGTTATGATGACATTTTATTATCCATTATTTTATTTTTTTGTTTTTTTGTTTTATACTTCATTAGAATTAATCTGAAAATCTTAATCCTATTTTTGCTACCTGACAGATAAAAGTGTGGATGAGACAAGTGACAGCTCTGGTGTTGGCACTGCCACAAGTGACTTGAGCAATTCTATCAGTCTACCTGGAACAACAGTTATCTGCTTAGAGAACTACAGTTCTAATCTTCCTGGTCACCTGAGTATTATGCAAGGAGATATTCTGGAAGGTGAGTATTCCATCCATACCTTCCCGCACTTCCAGCTACAGTTTATTTTTCTTTTTCATAAAACTTAATTGTTACATTATTTCTTGTATAGTGACGGGGGCCACAGACTGTGGACTTCTTGAGGGAACATTGCGTGGTAGGGGTTCTGGCCTTTTCCCAGCCCACTGCGTGCAAGAAGTCATGCTAAGACCTGGATCTGCGAATGGCTCTGTAAGTGGATCGGCTGGCTCCACCTCTACATTATGCCGATCTACTGCACGAGTTCTTGGTAGACGAGAAGCAAACAACAAACATTTTGCAACTGCACCTCGACAAAAGAAGCAGTGAGTTTAGATCAGATTTATTGTTCATGGTTCCTCATTGTACCTCATGCTAATATTGTCTTATTGCTTTATTAGGCTTGCTGCTGAACCAAGGACAGTTGTGCTACATCGGTCGAGGAAAGGATTTGGCTTCGTTTTGAGAGGTGCCAAAGCTACATCACCTCTCATGGAGTTACAACCATCTGAACGATGCCCTGGATTGCAGTATTTAGATGATGTTGACACTGGAGGAGTTGCAGATTTGGCTGGCCTTCGTAAAGGAGATTACCTTGTTGCTGTAAGTAGCAAAGCCCCCCAAGCTGTTTATTGCTCTAGTAGTAGTACCTAGTATTGTTCTCCTTAATTTTCATATTGTGTTTATTTCCTCTTTTCAGATTAATGGGGAAGATGTGTCTTCGGCCTCACATGAGCATGTGGTGTCACTCATCCGACGGTCAGGTGATTTGGTCCAAATGACTGTTGTCTCCGCCTCAGCTATGGGAATCAGCACAGTCCCCAATTCTAAGTCAAGCATGACATTTTCGTGCTCTGGTAGCAATGGAACAGGTACTGCACCTTCCACTCCCCCTACCAGGCAATATGCTACTCTTCCTCGAAAACTGAGTAACAACAGCACTCTTGGTAAGACTGGTTCATAATTATTAGATTTCTTTCCTCACACATTCAACTGAAACTAAATTTTGTAACTGTATGATATTTTAACATAAAATTTTCTTCAGGACGTTCCCCTGCACCTCTGCCACCAAGAAGAGATCCCCGCACTACTCTTAGTGTTGGACGAGCTCGAGCAAGATCTATGGTTGCTGGACTTGGTATGATGAAATTGACTCGAACAAATTTTATGACAAAATCTGAAAATTGTTCATTTAGAAATAACACCTATTTTCAATACTTCTCAGAGGGTGGAGGTGAACGTGAAGAAGGCTTGGACAATAGCACCGGCAGAAGTAGCAGTGCTGAGTCCATCCACTGTGCATCAGGTTCCAACTCCAATACAGGCTCCATAGCAGGAGGACTCAACATGAGCCACGCCTTGCAAGGCAACGGTAACCAACCGCGGACTGCCTCCATTCGCGCTCGACCCACCTCGTCCAGAATAACCGCAACAGAACTGGAAGAACTTTTCCAACGCCAGCAGGGTAGTGGAGGCTCTGCTCTCATGAGCTCATACTTTCAGGCAAGTGAAAATTCAAACTGTATTTTGCCACTTTGCATATTGGCATGTAATTGAAGCAGCATGAACTAAGAGCTGCACAACGATACGTGTTCTGTATTTTGGACCAGTGGTGCTGTTCATATGAATTTTAATCTAAGTGTGTGTCTGTATGTTGAGCCTGTGTTTGTTAAGTTCACAAGTGATCATGAATCTTTTGTACACCTTGCATGCAGTGTGGCATGGGTGGGAGTGCCTCATCATCTCAGCCTGCCTCTCCCGCGAGGACACCTCGCGTTTACAACAGTGTGGCTGAAATGAAACGAATGAAAGGCAAGGTATGTGAGTCAAGGGCATGGTGAACTGGGTCTGGAATGGATCCTAATGTAGTCTCTACTGAAAGAATATTTTTTTGACACCTAAAATATTGTTGCAGGCTAATACTAGAGTCCGCTTTTCAATTGCTGGTATATCTGGAATATCAGAACTTCATCGCGATTTCCACAGCACACCAGATCTTGCTGCTCGTTCTGGCATTTATAATGGCAAGTTTCTTCACTTAAATTCAATCATTTTATCTTGTCTTCAAATAAATTTGGTTGCTCATTGTTTGATTAATTTAGGTCTGCCCAATGGATCCATTGATCATCGTGTGCCAAAGGGTCATCGCAGTGAAGATGATGTTACTACTATAATTAATGGTCGTCCCCCTCTTCCACCTCCTAATCATCCACCACCACCTCCACCCACTCAGATTGTCAAAGTGGACTTAAAGGACTCAAATGGTTCAAGTAAGTTTTGAAGTTCTTCTAATTCTCTTCTTAGTAGTTATCTATATCAGAAATTTTAAACTTCTTTTCTGTTGTTATTTTCACTCTAGGTAAAGGAGAATATATTAATACTGCTGGTCTTGTGCCAGATTCAAATGAAAGTTATATGTCAAGCTTCAGGCCATCGAGCAGTGCTAAATTGTATGCCTCACCAGATGAAATAAAAGCTGTTGGTTATAGATCTACTGTTCCTGCCAACTCTAGACCTCAAGTGAGTGTTACCGGTACTTCCAAATTATTGGTTGTCCATGAAGCACAAGTTGATGTTTCCTAATAATCTCTTTAACATCAGGTTCGCAAGTCTCAAAGTTTGCGCTCTCCTCCAACAACTCACAAACCAACACTTCAACACCAAATGTCAGATCAAGGTCCTACTCTTGTTACCACCATTTCAATTGGGTCTAGTACAGGCACTAACGCAACTACAAATGGAACTAATTCAGACACGAATCAGTATGCTCAACCATTTAGATGTAGGCGTAGCCTGAGTACCAAAGAGAGACGAGAGGCCAAGAGTCGTCTTATGGCTAACCAAGCCGCGGCCAATGCATCTCAGGTTAATTTTTTCATCCATATCATTATTTATGACACACCTGAGAAATGGAAAGTAGTATTGAATATTTTGTGCTATTATTTTTGTTTTAGGTTGGAGGACCACCCATACCAGATCCTGACTACAGCTTGAGCGAAGGAGAGGGTAGTGAAGGGGACTCTCGGGAAGTGGAAGGAGCTGTTGTGAAGGGCTCAACTACTAATAATGAAGGCAGCGGAAATTCAGAAAGCTCCAGTGGTAGTGGAAGTTTAACTCATAGTTTTAGTGTTGATGAAATTCAAAAGGTAAGATTTCACCTCACCTTAATTGAATTTGATTCTGATTCACCTTGCTCACCATTACAGCACTTAATATGTTCTCTTCTTTTTTCATTTCTAGGTTCGCACTCGATTGAAGAGTTCCAAATCTTATCCAAATGACTTCCTTCTAAACCAGGATGGAACTAAAGATGGAAATGAAGGAGCTATTGAAGATGGAGATAACTCATCAAGTGGGGTCAGCTCAGATCAAGATATCCCCATTGGTCCATCATCTCTTGAACAAAACCAGCCAATTCGTACTGTGAAGTTCCAACAAAAGCCATCTCAGGTTGGTTGTTGATGAAATACAAGTGGTATTCAGATATGTTGAACTAAGCACTCTTAAGTTTTTTGATATAATTTTTCTTTCCAACTTTTGTAGGTCATTACATCATGTATGACTCTACCATCTCAACGACAGCAACAACAGCAAAGAGCTGCATACCACTCCCAAGGTATTCTGACTCGCAATGCAGTTTCACTGGCGCAGCTTCCACCTCCTCTAGAGGCAGAAGCTGATGAGCCAGCTCCCGAGGGAGTATTTGTCCCACCACCACCACAGTTTGGAGCTGCAGGTGGACCCACTCCAACTGAAGAAGTATTTGCACCTCCTCCACAGTTTTGTGATAATCGCTTGGTTACAAGGGTTCGAATCGTCGGCACCACCCCGAAAGGCGTGCCATCAATGGGAGGAGGAAGATTAAACAGTCAGTAATTATTTTTATAGTGAAATTCAATTATCTTTTCTCTCTTAATTCATCAGGCCTGTAGTCTGATTTTATGTCATTTGGAGTATTGCCTCCGCAGTCATTTATGTTAAACTATTACTTTATTTATCATACATATTATGCAATCATTGTGACCCAACTGAACTGAAAGATTTATCAGTTACATGTTGCTTTTAGGATGAGCTCCGCCCTTTGGAACAATTCAGCTCCATGCGCTAATGAACATTTGAGAGCTAAGGCAATCAGCAAAATTTATCTATCTATAGTGTTCTATTCAGTATTTAACATGTAAATACAGTATGTAGTAGATAAAATATGTATAAAGTTAACTGAGACTGTATAGTAACAATACTTTACATTGAAATTTATCTTACTGTCACAGGGAAACCATTTGCTCGAAGACAGATGTGATAATGTAAACAAATGTAAGGCCTTGTACCAATTATCTTTTGTGTAGGTGTGTCTAGGCTTATCTAGTTTTAGAAACCATTGCCATTTTTGAAATCAATGTTGAGCGTTTGTCACCGAGCATTCTGGTGAAGTAACTTCAGTTTACAACAACTGTTACTATTGATGTAGATACTTTCAGGCTCAATTTGTTTTCTTTACTTTCCGAGTTTTGTGCAAACTATCAAGTGCAAACTATCAAGTATGAGTAGCAGTCAACTGCGAAAAGAAGCAATTTAAAAATGTGAAATTAACTTTTCATGTTTTCTTTGCTTAAACCCTTATGTAAGACTTGCTGAAGTTGTTTACCTTTTCTAATCTATATATTTCAAGGAACATTTTGCTGAATTTCATCTGAAGTACTGTAAGCTCAATCTCAATGGAAGCCTCAAAGCATTTCTTCAAGTTATGGTGTTCAAACACCAGGAAATTTATTATATTTCAAAGTATTCATTAATATGTTATGCATTATGCTTAACCCAATCAATTTTAAAAATAGATTTTTAATTCTATCTTTTCTCTTGCATGATAATTATTGATCTTAATGGGCCTACTGTGTATGAATTTAATTCCTCAATTAGAAAGAATTTTTTAATCTACTGTTACAAAGTTCAAAAAGTAATAAGTACACATTATTCTCTGTTTTGAATGAGTCTCACTTTTCTATATTTTGATCAACAATGACATTGTCATTTGTTCTGGTTTGAACTGATTGTAATTCTGGAAGTGAGAGCATGTATTAAATTATAGGTAGTTGTTTCAGCACAAGTAGGGCCCATCTCATTTTTGATGACGCGTGTATCAAAGCCTGGAACATATCCCAAGGAAAATGTGGTTCTTGTGAAGTCATCATTGTGATCTCCTTTAGAGTTACAATGTCACAATTTTTGCACTTGTTAGGTCACCAGTGAGGTCACAAGTATCAAAATGGTGACTTGGTAACTCATTAAGAGATCACTATGAGGTCATTGTGAAATCAACATTTTCCATTTTCCAGACACACATGAATTCTAATCATCAATTATTTCATGTTCTCCTTAGGAGTCATCACTCCATCCCCAACCTCCCCCTTCTTCCCCTGATAAAAATCAATCCAAGGAAATGTTGTGACTGGATGTACTACGTGTAAATTTGTTGTTTGCTGAAGGTGGCAAAGCTGCTGTTAAAGTAAACAAAATTTTGCTCTCTTCAATTTGAGAGTTTCTCTCAGTAGAGCTTACTGATGTTTATATGAATGAATTTTATTGTCCTTTATGTACCTGTCTTCTCTTTGTAAATATATGCTAAAGCATTGCCAGATTAACTTTTCTTGTGTTAAGAAAGCTGTTGTGTTATTATTGTTTGTTTCTCGTTATTGTTTTTTTAGATGGCACTTTTCATTTTATATAAAGATAGTGGGGTAAAATGGATAAAGCTCAATGAAGGCTGTCAATGAAGTAGTTGTCAAAATTGTCAATTCGACCATATATATGGAATGTACATTCCTGAGTACATACATGCAAGCAGTGAGAGTCATGTTGCCAAATAATGAATTTTAATGTCCACTTATCAACTTATGTCTTTCAAAATTTTCTAAAAAGCAAATTATTTAGTTAGCTCTCATACCTTCTTTTCCTATAAATGACATCTTTTACAATAATGTGACTGGATTACTAGCACACAATTTTTTTACAGTACATTTAAACAAAGCATGAGTCTGTCTGTGCAGTATTATCTCAAATATTCACAGGACAGATGGAAATGATTTTCCACTCTTGGTAACGACATTTAAGTGGAGGTTATTTTGCTTGAAATCCAAACCGTTGTTGCAAAGACAGCTGGCATGTTACCAACATTCCCAGAAATGTGAATTGTTGCACCTCTTATAAAGTTTCAAGTGCCAAATCTGAGGTTCAATGCTTTACCGTGGTATCAGCATGTTTTATCAGCTGTTAATTGTGATTCAGATATCACCAGTTAGGTGTGCTTTATGCAGTATTATTTTTCAAATCAAGAACCTGCCTTACCCCTATGCCAAAAAGTGAAAAATATATTATTAACTTGCAATAAAGTGTGAAAACCAGAGAGTGAGCATTTTTAATTATGTTATATATTATTTTTTTAAATGTATAGTTGGTTCTAAGGAATTCTCAGAACCATTTATGCTCTTTATTACAGTGTGAATTCAAAAATACCAATGGGTAAAAATCAATTGTCTTACACAATACAGAATAAGTAAATAGAAAGCAAACACAAAGCAAGGAGTTCTATTCCTCTATCGGGTGTCGTCCGATATTTTGGACGTCTATCAGGTCAGGTGTCCGGTCGCCTGGATCGTCATCTCAACCATCTGAAAAGTGCAAATGGGTTCAAAACTTTCACTTGGACAACGTTCTTCACAATCACCATACCACCCAATAATTAAGTGCAAACATCACTCCTAGAAAAAAAATTCCCATGGACGTATTGATGAAATCGACACTCACCTCAACATCTGGAGGACTGGCGAGTGCAAAGCACACCGCTCTGGATATATCTGAGGCCTTCAGGAGGCGTTGCACCTCCTCTGGGGATATGGCGTCCCTGAGGTCATCGCCGAACATGTCGGTGAGCACGGGGCCAGGGCTCACGCTCTGGAAGGATAAGACGGTCGTAGACGGGGGAGGGCACAAACACTGTGGACTCGGCCGCGGCCACCGCTGGGCCCCAGTACTGGCGCATGACTCACCGTGACTTTGATCCTGTAGCCGTCGCGGTGCATGTGCTTCAGCTCGGAGCGCAGACCCTGACAGATGGCGGTGACAGCGTGCTTCGATCCGGCGTACACGGCCACGCTGAAATCGGGGTTGTCGAAGACGGGGACGTAGTGTCCCAAGAAACTGCGAATATACATTTGCGTCACTGAGGGGTCGTCTAGAAAGTATGGCCGGTTTCCGCAGATCCATTCGGCACGTAAACGTCGCCCCTGTGTGTGATCACATACAGACAGGGATGTAAATTAACGTGGATCGGCGCCTGTGAGACTAGGGGTAGGCCGACCCCGCAGTACATGCATGTCCTGCACGCAAGATGTTGCCTACCTAGCGGGCGCTATGAGAGCTTGTTGCTTGCATCATAGGCCTAACGTGGCAGGTTCGTAACGGCGAATATGACGGACGTACTTGATGGGTGATCCGTAAGTGTGACAGCGCGCGGCGGACACAGGCAACCCATCCGACACGTACCTGTTGATGTTGACGATGTGCCCGTCCGTGGTGCCGTGCTTCTTCATGTTGTTGATGACCTCCCTGCAGCACGACGTCAGCCCCAGGATGTTGGTGTTCACGATGGCGGCCATGGCCTCGTTGGACATGTCTGCAAAGGCAAAGATACGATACGAGCTCTGAGGTGTGACCTACCTCAAGAGACACATGGTGCTGACCGAGGGGTACCTACACGTCCCTGTTCATGGACACAAAAATGTGGTCACAAATTGGGCAACATACGATGTCTGACGCCACCAACCACATGCCCCTTTTGTAGTTAAACAGTTGTATCTACAGTCGACATGACCGCATGCAGCTTCATCCGAACCAAAATTGTCGGCCCTAAGATCAACTCCCGGGCGGGGCAAATTTTTTTCTTCGTCGCTTTTTGTCTCCCGTTAGGCAGGACCGAGCTCAGACCTGGGCCTCGGAGGAGCAAGCTTGTAGCCGAGCGTGTTAAAGCGTGGTCGTTGGCAGACCGTGGGGATAGTCGGTAGTTCAAATCCCGGCCGCATTTACTTTTCCTGCTCTGCTGGCCAAGTGTCTTTGGGCGTCAGTCACAGATGGATGCCGCCAAAAGTTGTCCTCTGTATCGTTCCGTCGTGGCCAAGTCGGTAGCGTCCGGGCCCGGTATGAGTCTGGTCGCTGGTTCAAATCTCGGCCGGGTGATATTTTTCGCGCTCCGCTGGCCATGACTTTACAGCCGTGCGACACCTCATGTGATGGGCCGGTACGCAAACAGTCGCTGGTTCGAATCTAGTCGACGGCACCCTTTCGCCCCTTTGCCAGCCATATGTTTCGGGGTGAGAGCCACAGCGGATATAAGCTTCGCGTTTTCAATAGCCTCATCATTGGCTCAGTTGGTAGAGCGCGCGCCCGGGACGCGGATGGATGTCGGTTCGAATACTGACCGAGGCTCACTTTTTCTTATTTAGTAGTTTGCTGCGCGGGGACCAAGGGTTAGGACAAAAGACCAGCCGACATGGGGAGGTGGACTTGACCGCCTACTCAGCAGCCCCCCCCCCTCCCCCCCTTCCCCCCCCCCCCCCCCCCCCTACCAAAAAAACAACGACAAAATGTTCGCCCCGACCGGGACTCGAACCCTGGACCGAGGGTGTCTTGTGCACCGCGCTCCAGCGCGCTCACCACTCGGTTGTCAGCTCCACTTGTCAGCGAAGAGTTCAGAACTCGGTGCTGCTTTTCGAGTCTTGGTCTCCCGGATTGCACGCGTTCAGGTCTGGTCAAGTCCACCTCCTCGACGCGCTGCAGCCCGGGTCGGCTTTTGGCCCGAAACACGGAAAATGGCCACTAAAAGAGCCTCCTGGGCGCGCGGGGGTTAGGTTAGGCTAGCGGAGCGTTCATTAATTGGCCTTTTGGACAAGATTTCGACCCGGGCTGCAGCGCGTCGAGGAGGTGGACTTGACCAGACCTGAACGCGTGCAATCCGGGAGACCAAGACTCGCAACGCAAGAGACCAAGTTCTGACGTTCGCATCCACAGGAGCAGGCGACAGC